AATAGTTTAGAAGTGCGCGCTACCACTCCGCAAGGCCTGGGTTCAAGCACTGGTCAAAGCAAAATCGCAAAAAATATAGAAAATAGGTTTTTCTTAGCATCGGTCGCCCCTCGGCAGGCAATGGAAAACCTCCGAGTGTATTTCTGCCTTGAAGAAAACATAAAACCATAAAACCAAATCGCCGTTCGGTGTCGGCGTAGAACTGTAGGATATCCCCTTTGTGTGACAACATAAAGGCATATGCCACAAATCGGAGGAGAAGCTCGGCCAAACACTAATATATGTGTAAACGCCAGTGTATTATTATTATCAGGGAACGGATTTTATGAAAATTGCCTCTTTTCTGATAAATATGTACATATTTGAGGTTGCATTTTTTCCCTTTTTTAAGTGAAGAAGAGAAAGCCCTTATTCCTGATAATATAAAAGTTTCAAACGTTCCATATTTAAATTGGGCGCCACTTGTATCAACTCACGTCGAGTACGTTTAGTACATTCATTGCTGTGTTAAGGCCTGTTCTGTTATACAAAAATTCAAGTTGATGATGAAGAAAATCGATGGATAAAAAAAGAAGTAATAATTGGTCATATGAAAATACGCAAATATTTTGAAGTGAAACTTCTTTAGCGGCGGTTGGTTGGGTGGGAGTAAATTGGCAAATTCAGCGGAAATTGCACACGGAAATGGTGCAACGGAAATGGAGCAATGGAAATGGTTGGGACTGAAACAAGTACTTCTTGTGTGTATGCAAAGGAAATGATTCAACGGAAATGGTGCAACGGAAATGGTTGGGGCTGAAACAAGTACTACTTGTGTGTATGCAAAGGGAATGATGCAACGGAAATGATGCAACGGAAATGGTGCAACGGAAATGGTTGGGGCTGAAACAAGTACTTCTTGTGTGTATGCATATGGTATGAATTTAACAAAAACTTGCTAATAAAAGGTTAGAGGATAGATAACACTTAGAAATAACAATACAAGAATGAAAGTAAAGGTGAGTACGTACATAGGTAAAGAAAATTATAAAGGCAAAGGTAAAAACAAAAACAAAGATGTGTAAAGATAAAGGTAAAAACGAGGACCAAGGTAAATTTAAACACTTTACTTATATATATAAGGGCAAAGGTGAAGGGTAATATGTTGATGAAGAAAATGATAAAAACAAAGATGAGGATGAGGATACCGATAAAATTAAGATGAGGATAGGGGAAGAAAAATTAAAATATAGGTAATTAAAGTTGAAAGGATGTAGAGAGAGACACAGAGACTCAATCTGGGAACTATTTTGGGATTTTAGAGATATTCGAGATTCTCGAGACTTATCGATTAAACAATCGATATTTTTATCGGTATTGTTATCGATATTTATCGATTTTTTTATCGATATTTATCGATTTTGTTATCGATGTTTACCGATTTTGTTATCGATATTCATCAATTTTTTATCGATAACTATCGATTGTTTTCTCGATATATATCGACTTTGTTAGCGATGTTTATTGATTTTGTTATCGATTCTTATCGGTTTTGTTATCGATTTTGCTATCAATTTTGTAATCGATATTAATCGATTTTGTAATTGATATTTATCGATTTTGCTACCGTTATTTATCGACATGGTTATCGATATAAATCGATTTTGTTATCGATATTTATCGATTTTGTTATCGATGTTTATGGATTTTCTAATCGATTTAGCTACCAATGGTATTATCGATGTTGCTATTGATATTTTTATCGAATTTGTTTTCGATTTTGTTATCGATGTTTTAATGGCCGTTATATCGATAGAGTATGAAGATAAAAATGAAGATAATGGAAAAACAGAATAACGTGAATGTTATTAAAACGAATAGTGGTAGAGGTAGGGATCTACATTGATAGAACAAAAGCGAAAAAATATAACCTTAAGCAAAAGCAGATGTGTGTATGTATAGATAGATAAGTAACGTAAGTTTCACTTCTACAGTGTGGCCCAGGCGCACTTACTTTTTTTTACCTTCTTTTTATTAGCTCGGGATGAAACTATGTAATATTGATGCGCCTAAAAGATGCAGCGATTTCTATTCTCAAGTTACATACCTGATGACAGTACGAATGGCAATTATAATAGGAAGGTTTTAGTTTTTTAAACTACAATTTTTTTAGGTATGAAAAATGAGCAGGAAAGAATGTTACTCATACGCCATGTCCACCTGCAATTATCTCGAAAACTTATCTATAGAATAAAAAAATTTACTCGATTTTCGGAATCAGCGAGCAACTCTATGTAGAAATTGGATAGTGGCGTCCGTTGAATATTTTTCCTGTAAACCAGTGTTATTTTTAGTTTTTTGTCTCTTTTAGTGCCTTTTTTGCTATTTCTAGAGCCTGCCTATTTCGGTATTTTATTTTGCCGTTTTATAGGTTTTTAAGTCCTAAAAATCCCTGCCCTGATTATTATTATTATAGGTAAATTATTTGTAACCAGATAATATAATAACCAGGCAAGTGCGAACACTACGGTGGTCCAAAATTGCATGTGAAAAAGTAAAGTCGGAATTTTTATGCTCTCACCACCTAGGATTGTTCTATTCCGAAAAAATATACCCTTTTTTATTTTGAAATCAAAAAATATTTAGAGGTCGATCAAGGCGCCCAAAGTTTTCCAAGTATTTTATATGGGGGAAAAACAACTTTTCGTAAAAATAGTATAGAATAGATAAAAGTCAATTTTTTCTACCAGAAAACTGTTTATCTGCAGATCTGCAGATTCCCAATAATAGTACCCAAGTGCTTACTTAATTTATAGGTCCGCCAAAATCCCCGAAAAATGTAATGGGGCGACCAATAAAAAATCGCTAGTATTAAACAATGGTTAAATAAACAATTGGATATTATTATTGAAAGTCTCCTAAAGAGAACCAGAGTTTTCTGATCGAAAAATATTGACTTTCAAGAATTCTATACCATTTCTACGAAAAAAAAATTATTTTTTCCATATTAAAATACATGGAAAACTTTGAGCGCTTTCAGCGACCTCTAAATATTTTATGATTTCAAAATAAAAAAATAGGGGTATACTTTTTTTTCGATATAGAACAATCCTAGGGGGAGAGGGCATTACAATTCCGACCTTACTGTTTTTGGACCACCCTAGTGAACACACTAAGTGATTTTCTTGAACATTTAAAACTGAAATATGTATGTACATATTTTAAGAACGAATTGACTTACAGTGATTAAGTACTAAGTATATATACAGATTCTATCAAAAAAGGCTAGCATAAATCCAAAATATGTAACTACATACATATGTATGTATATGTAGTTATTGCCACAGGTATTAACAGATAAATGATGAAAATGAGGATTGATTTTGAGTTTGCCAGTTTTTTCTACAACAATAATATATATTGGCAGAAGCAATGGATGCTATTTAGAAGATATCGTCTTCGTCTCATTAGGTTTCATCTTTGATTTGAAAACAAAATAGTTATGTCCTTTTGAGTGTAATTGAAAAACTGGAAGAATGAACACCAGTTTTTTTTAATATATCCCAACGGTTTTTACCCTCCATTCCCGCCCATCCGCACGCGGGGCGCAGTCCGCATGACGTATGGAACCAATATTTTAAATTTTTGTGCCGAGTCACGATGGGCAGGAGTTTGTTAAGTGTCGAGATCTAAAACTGTTCAGCTACAGAACTAAATTCATCAGCTGATTTTATGTATTTATGTCAATAATTCACTTATTGAGAGAGGAGAGTATCGCGGATCTGATATATCAAACGTGCTGGAATGAGAGTTAAAATCCTGGCATAAGCAACGGAGTGGGTCGTGCAATTCAAAATTGGTTTTACAAGCTTTCAGAAATATGGGACAAAAGTGTCTTGATACGCGTGACGGAACATTAAAGCTTACATCAGCCAGAAGAGACGGACTTGAAATTGAGCCTGTCAGTAATTTAACCATAAAAATTATGGCTTTTTACACTAAGTGTCCACGATTGAAATCAAAGATGAAACCGGATGAAAAGAAGTGGATATCTGCTAAAAATTATTTATGGGTCGATTATCGATAGCAACCGAACTTCAGTTGCGTTGCTAGTTGCCAAAACGATATTACAGATGGCAAGTGGCATTTCTCAACTGGCAACTGCAGTTGCTACAAAGTGTGTATACAGGCAACTAAATTTTTATGGTTGCTGGGAAGGTTTTTGGAGCGTATTTACGAGTGAATTACGATTGAAGAGTATGCCATACATTTTACTTTTTAATAATTTGAACGATATTAACATTTTGCAATGCAGTTTGCTTTTACAGAATATGGTGCAAATAACAAAACAATAACTTAAAATTTAAGTTTCCGTGGAATACGCGCTTTTGGCGAAATAAAAGCGAACACATATTTGCAAGTTTTTTCCTTTATCAACTGAAGCACCTCGTTTAAGATTACCGACGCACCAAGTTTCCCAAACTGAAGTCAATGCTGTGGCACTTCCTGCGAAAAATGCAAGAGGTGCGCAAGCTTTTAGGAGCGGAGGTATTGTAGCTGAACGAAGTCGTTCCTCTGTTTATTAACCAATTATACTACAGCTTCTGGAATTAGCTTTAAGTGAACACAAAACGATAATAAAAGAAAAACCTTGAAAGCATTAACTTTTGCTTACAGGGCAGGCGGTAGCTCTAGCTCTAGAATTTGAATTACCCTTAAAGTGTCCCCTGATTGAGACAAATAATTGTGCTGAGCTTAGCTTTATTGCTGACTTTTCTTTAAAACTCTTTATTTTAATAATTTGATTTTACTCGCACAGCTTGTTTACAGACACTTGCCGATTGCCCAACTGTCAAATTTCGGTTATTGATAACTCCACAGCAACTGACGATAGTTGAAATTCGTAATACAAATTTTCTTTCCAGCTGGCAACCGAACCGCGGTTGCGTTGCTATCCGTAATCGACCCATAAAACTTAGATTATTATTAAATCACATAAACAAAAACAAAAGCAGGGGGGTTTTTAGTTATACTCAACAGTACAAATGCCGGCGCCCACTTCGTTCCACCATTTATTCTTCATTTTCTCCAATGATCCCTGTTCTTGCAATTGAAGTAGCGCATTGTTGAATCTGTCTCGGTAAGGCCAATCTAGTGTACAGTTAAGCATATTTATAATAATATAAAAATAGTTAAATACATACACGTATTGAAAGGCTAAATAGATAAGTACATATATGTATGTTATGTACATAAATATCTGCTCACTTTTTCGCATAGCTATTCCATAGCCTTTTTCATCCAATGCATCACCAACTTTCCTTAAATGGCATAGCCGCATCGTATTGTATTCAATTGAAGTAGACTCCATTAAGAAAGCGTAGGTCATGTCCACGCGGTTCACACCCTCCATGTTGTCATTGGTCAACAGCTCTGGATGACTATTTAAAAATTTGTTCATTTTTATATGCCGTGGATCCTCCGATTTCTGGGTGGTTCATTAAAAAGTCAATTCTGGATTATTTGTTTCATCTTTCATCAATAATCAATAACAAGTAATTTTTAAGCAAAAACCAGATTAGTATGGGACCACCTCTAAGACACTACCTTTCCGATGCCGAATTATCGAAATCGGTTGACGTGGTCCAAAGTTATGCGTTAACATACATAAAAAAAAAATAAAAAAATATAACTCCTCCTTTTTTGGAAGTCGGTTAAAAACATAAACAACCGAGCAAAGACCAAATAAAGATTTCATAAACGGTTCATTAATTTATGATTTTCAAGTGGAGAACAAATATTGGGGACCGTTTTCACGGCCATTAGTCAACCAATCAGGACTTTCGAGAGGGGGAAGCATGTGAATGTTAAGGGCCCGGGCACTAAATAGGCATATGAAACCGAAATAATGGGCCGTATGCGTAAAAACTAAGCAACTGCTTTTTCTTAAAATTTCATACTTTCACTTAAATTTCTTTGAACAAATCGAGTAGAATGCCTGAAATTTTAAGAAAAAGCATTTGCTTAAGTTTTATGCATATGGCCAATGTCTAAATGCACATTTTCGGTGCCCCGAAAAAATGATATGTAGTGCTAGCTTGACACCATACATATTGAAAATGTTCTAACGACATTAATTGTAGCTTCTGACTTGCAAATTTGTTGTGCAAGGAAAAAATGTGTAGCTTTCGTTTTTTCTGTAAAATTGAGTATGTAGTGCTAACTTGAAACTATGCCCCATTGTCGATTAAAATGAGACAACAAAAATGTTACAACAGCACTAATTGTAGCTTCTTTATTACTAATTTTCTGTGAAAAGGAAACATTTGTAGCTCTAATTTTTTTTAAACACACACTTGGATTACAACAAAAAAGCTACAGATGTCTTCAACATCTCAATTCTATCGACTAGGTGCATGGTGTCAAGCTAGCACTACATACCATTTTTTTCCTAAAAAACGAAAGCTACAAATTTTTTCTTTCCACAACAAATTTACGACAAAAAAAAACTACAATTAATTCCGTTGAAACTTTTTCAATATCTCAATTCAGTTGTCAATGGTGCACTACATACTAAATTTTGTTAGAAAAACGGTCAACTCAATTTTTTTTCCAGAAAAACGAAAGCTTCACAACAAATTTACAACAAAAAAGCGGATTTGCCGCTATGAGCCATATCAAGAATTATCAGTGGAAAACTTCTTCTCTTTTTTATTGGCGCTGTAACAGCCTAAGCGATTTTGGCCGAGTCCAAAACAGAACGCCAGTCATTTCTCTTCTGTGCTAACTGACGCTAATTGGAAGTGTCAAGTGAAGCCTAGTCCTTCTCCTCAGTTTTGAAGATATTTTACAAAATTTTTGCACACGCTTGTAATCTAATATTTCCTTCATTATCTCATTATCTCATTAACTCATCGAAATCGGTTCACTCTAAAATCTAGCTACCATACAACTGATTGTCCAGAGACGTTGTTTTGCATTATGACTCCTCCAATTAAGCAGGTAAAAACTTAGTGTAGGTTCACTTTAACATATAGCACGCATACAATTTATTATTCAGATATGAAGTTAGATTTATAGCGCAAAAACACATATCTGAGTAATCAGTTGTTTTGGAGCTATACGTTAAAGTGCGCCTATTTCGATAATTTTAAGGAATAATTAAGGCAATATTAAAAAACCGTTATGTGCAAAATTTTAGTCAAATAGCTTCAAAACTGAGGGAGCTATTTATAAAATAGTTAAAATTTAATCAAATTTTCAAATACCGTTATCTCTAAAACCGGAGCCAATCTGGTAAAACGGGGGAATGCCATTGAACTTAAAACATCCCAATTAAGTGAGTTCAACTTTCAAAATCTTTGCTCAAAATTTACAACTTGAACAGCGTAATTTGAACCCAGCTTATTCTTTTGTTTTCTATTTCATGTTTATTCCTCGTCTAACTTTTGAAGCACTTGATGAAAATGAGTTACACTTATATTAATCGATTTATTAAGAGCATACGAATAAAATGAGACGAGAGTGTACCTATTTTCTAGATTTGCCCATATACATTCTAAATATACAATAACACCATTTGCCGTTCGGAGGTGGGGTAAAACTGTGTGTACTCCACAAATGGGGGAGAAGCTCAGTCAAGCCAAAATATCAAATATGTAAGCGCCAATATTTATTTATTTATGTACATATTTTAAAATCCTTACCTCGAAAAACTCTCTTGTTGAACCGACCTTTCTTGCACCATACAATACGCCATGCTTATTTTCAGCAAGATCGTCTATAGAATCAATCAGACTAGTTGGGTTTTCGATGGTTAAGAAAGCGGCCAAGTTAGCAGTATAGGATGAAACCATAAGCAAAGTGAAGAACCACCAAAAATAAGCGACAGTGCGTGTTGAAATGGCCCTAGAACGTGGATACAAAGACAATTGGTTCTTACACGCAAAATCACAACGATGTTTTTTCATATCGCTAGCTTAGAGGGAAATGTCGCTAAGTCCACTTTTTATGAAAACTCGTATTTTGATAGAGGCGGCTAGATAAATTAAAAATGCATCGTTTCGAAAAGAGTTAAGTTCCTTGTTTTATGTTTTCTCGTTTATATTCAATGAAAGGACAATTTGCTAAGTCCAAGATATGTAGTACGAAATCTTTTAATAAAGATCGAATCCCTCTTTTTTGCTTTGTTTTAAACAGGTAAAATGTTGTATTAAATGTTTTGCGAAATACTTGAAGAAAATGCCTATAAGAAGTTTTTTCCTCTCATGTACAATTTTTAAATTGAGACTTAGCAACTTTTCACTCTAAGCAGTACATACATACATATATAAGTCGCATGCTTACTCACTAAAAACAAAACAGCATTAAAAATAAATAAGCAGGATTAAAAAAATAACAATATAATTTTCTAGGATCAATCAAAACGCTCGAAACTATAAAAATGCATTGATTAGATGCGATTTAAGTATTATTTATGCCGGGTCAGATTCTTTGAATTCCTAAATTATTCTTTTTAATCGCTTGCCCTGTTTGGGTCCAATCTAGTAATTACAAAAAAAAAACTAATTGCATCTGAATGTATCTGTATGAATCTGTATGAAGGTGGAAACTGATAATATGGTATTTTACTGTTGCGACAATACCAAGAATGCGATGAGAGTGTTTTGATATGTGGTTTCCACATTGCTTAGTACAAATTGTTTATATTTTGGGAAAGCATCGTCTCACTCGTACTAATTGTGAAGCATATTCATATTCAAAATATAGTCGACGCAGCTTTTTTGACAGAAATTCTGTTGAAAATTTTGTCAAAAGGCTGCATTTATGTATAGAATCGGTATTGGGTACCGAAAAGGAAGTATTGGGTACTGAAATCTTTCTGAAGTATTGGGTACTGAGTATTGGGTACCAGCAATTCAGCACATCACTAGTCTTGACTCACAACGAGCCTAGCGTGCTTCCGAAGTACGCTACACTTTTCCACCCAAATACGTTGCGCGCCAAGAGAAAAACTCCGGAAATTTTCCTCTCTTTATAACCTTTTAAATCTTTTTACAAATTATGAAATATAAAAGAATAATAGACTAAAAGACATCGTAAAGCGGTTGAGAAATAAACTTTATTTTAACAGTTATTAATGAATGTTACAAATAATTTTGAATGTCGAAATAAAATATAACAATTAGTTGTTAAGCGAAAAACACACAGCGAGTTCAATGCTCATAAAAAAATTTTGGTAAAATTTGGAACTTAACCACCCTGGAGGTACCAGTTTCGAAAACGGTTCACGTGTTCCAAAGTTATGCGGTAACATACCCCAAAAAGATTCCAACGAATTGAATTTTTTTTTTAATTCGGTTAAAAAAGTAAGAAAACATATTTACGTATTTTAAAAATTAAATGAAAATAAATGTATAAGATTAGAAATAGAAATGTTTATAATTTAATCTGACATTCATATAGAAAAATCCATGATAAAAACATTACAAGGTAAATTCATTCTCTCATTTCGTCGGCCATGATTTTTTTCTGACGTTTGCCAACATTTTAAAATCATATAAAATTGAAAATAAAAAAATTAAATTGTTCACAATTGTTGTTGTTTGAGATTGAAAATGAGAATGTGTGTGTGAGTTTGAGTTTTGATTTTAAAATTATATTGTTGGCAAACGTCAGACTGCCTCTCAATGGTTTTACCTTGTTATGTTTTTATCATGGAAAAATCTGTGTTTGGCTTACTCTGTTTTGAAATTAAATTAATTTTAAATGTTTTTACTGTGAATTTGACAGACACATGCAATAAGAAGTATCACAAGTAATTTTTAGCAAAAAAAAACCGACTTCAACTCTCATATAAAAAAAAAAAAAATATATATATATATATATCTCATGATCCACAGATCGGATCTTAACCAGATTAGTATGGGACCACCTCTGAGACACTACCTTTCCAATGCAAAAAGAATTATCGAAATCGGTTGACGTGGTCCAAAGTTATGTGGTAACATACATAAAAAAAAATATATTCCGATGAACTGATAACCTCCTCCTTTTTTGGAAGTCGGTTAATAATAATAATTACTACAACATTCTACTGCGAATAGACTGCGAAAAAATTTTACATTGTCACACTTTTCGCGATATGTATTGAATTTGTAAAAGACGAAAAATTAACTATTTGCTTAGTAAACAAATTCAAAATTTCTCTCGCTCTCTTTATTTCAAACGTTTTTTGTTTAATTTTAAATTATAAAATTATAAAAATTAAATTGAGCGAAAACAAAGCCGACTAAAAGTACAAGAATCAACATTGAAAAGCGTTAAAATGAAAATACGGTAGCACGAATTTCGATGTAAAGCAAACCCTATGGGAAGACAATACCTGTAATAATTGTACCATGGTGGGCACTCGTTTTTTAGTATTACCCTAACTACATATGTAAATCTGGCTCTAACCTAGGACTATGATTATGCCCCAATATTTTTACATACGTAGATACGTAAATACATACATATACATATATGTATATCATGTGTATATATGCAGACATAACGTGCCGTTTTTACTTACTTTGGTTCCATTTCCGAACCTTGCTGTAGTAAAGCACCCGTAGTAAACCATAATGAGTTGCCAATTGTAAATTGATTTACTAGTTCAGTCGGCTCTTCAATGCATGGGTAGGGATTATCCCATTCAGATGGTGAAAGACGTCCTAATATGAAAAAGCTGAATGCCACCAGGAGGAAGGACAGTCCCAAAAGCCACCACACCTCTTTGGAGAATGGATCCATAAATGTGAAAAAAGCTGGTGGGGCCTTTTGTGCCTTTAAATGTAGAATTGCTATACCTAGTGATGAAATTCATACATACATAAGTATGTTTGAATATAGTATAACCAGTTCTTAATTTTAACTTTTTATGGAATTTAACATAAATAAAATCTAACCCAAATTCATGAACGGTATGGAGAAGTCGACCACTTGCTGGCGTGCTGCTGTAATTGTTAAATCCGTGATTGCCAAGTCCGCGCGCTGAAAAAAGATGTAGTAAGAAGAGCTAAAATTAGAACTCCGGAGCAAGCTTTTTTGAGGCATTGCGGATTTTGAAGTTGTCACAGGCTTGTATGAATTTTACGCTTTTCGCACTTGACGTTCCTTAGCGAAACAGCGTAATATGATTCATATAAAAGCTGCGGCAAAAAATAATTGCTGCCATATTGATGAAATGTGATGTATTCCCCACCTTCACTTAGTAAAGGACAAAATATGAACTGTGGGTCAAACGTGGTAGGAAATAATAAATGTTATCCGATTTTGATGAAATTTGGTTTTCGCAATTTTTTCGGCCCCAAAAGCATATGTAACTTATCAGGAACAGATATTAAGAACTTAATTATTATCGATGACCAAAAAATAATGTGGCTGTGAGCCATAAAGGTTTCAGAATCACAGAAGGAAAAACAGATAAACAATATGTATCGATCTTGAAGGTAAAAGTATTGTTGTTGAAAATAAATTTTTTTTAAGAACTTACAGTTAAAAAAAGTAATCTTGTAACAATGATTAATAATAATAGTAGTCTATTATTACTAGTCTATTTTTTTTGGAACTTAAGCGGTTGAACCCACAAACCCTATATCGGGACCAACGGTACTAATTTAAAATGGCTGGGAAGGGCGGTATCGAGAAGCTCTATAAAAATTTTCTACTGTTATATAGAGGCAAAAACTAACGGCAGGCAAAATAGAATATTCAAGTATATGTATTATTTAAAATGAATTTCAAAGTCAAAGTCGGGAGATCCACGGGACCCGCGGCATAAATCCGAAAAACGTCGGGCGGGTGGGATCGGGATTGAATATTTACTCCCGCGTCCATCTTTAGTTTGGAGGGATCTTAATTAAAATAGTTTATTACATGGAGTTGGGAACTTACACCCATAATAATTTCTTTTAACATTCCTGATGTTGTATTTGTAGTAGCATTGTATGATCCATAGTCGTTGCCACCGTTCTTCAAAATAAAATCAAAGCCTAGTTTATCAGCGAGTTCTTTAATAAGATCGACGCCATAGCCTTCATATTGGCTGTTGCCTTCCAGTTTTTCATAGCTCTCCACAAGACTTGCATATGGTTTGTTCTAATTTCGGTTGGAAAAAGAAAAGGTGTCAATGTTCATATATACGTAAAAATAAATAAGTACTTATGTACATACATACATACAGTCAATATCTATACTGAGGGAAGTAAGTTCCCATTTTCAAAAGGATATCGTACGCGATTTTTTAGTATTGATACTCAAAAGGCTTTATATAACAACTGATTCCTTTGAGAATGATCTGGAGCATTATCATGGGGGTTGGAAGCACTGAGTTTAGACAACACTTTTGTACAAAATTATACATTTAAGTAATACAAAATGCATCAAAGCAAGCAGACTACATCCAAATAGAATCAGGCCTCATCAGATTAATAAAAATACCTAGTTTCTTTAAAAAATCTATGTCCAAAATTTTGTACCACAATACTAGTCTATTGGATTTTAGCTTTAGAGATTATTTTGATTTAATTAATTTTTTATTTACTTATAAAAACTGATTTTAAAAACTGCCAATGCGTAAAAACTTAGAAACCGAATGTTGCCATTTCGCAGCTTGTGAAATTGTATAGTGTTTTTGGGTTCAGTATTCAATTAACCAAAAGGAAAGTCATGCTACAATAATCGAAAAAAAAAGATTATTATTGATTTGTTTGTAGTTTTATGTCATTAATTTCCAAGCCGATGTTAAGAAGAGTGCTTTTGGTTTTAGTTATATGTAGTTGCATTGCAAATCTATTTTTTGTTTGCACATATCCCAGTGGTCGAAATATTGAATAAGGTGACTAAAACATAAAGGTGTCATTGGAGCTGATTACGATTCTAGTTAGATGCAAAATATTCAAATTTAAAATGGCAAATCTAATATGGAGGAAGCCATACCAAGACATTCTGAGGAAGTATAAAAGTGAGATTCGACGGTCAAAAAAAGCAGCATGGGAGAGCCATTGCCAGTCGTTGGAGAGTATAAAGGACACCGCCATGCTGAGTAAGCTTTTGGCGAAGGACTACTCGTGTCTACAGAGTCTGCGGAAGACTGACTCAGGTTGCTTGTTAACACCCATTTTCCGGGTAATTCTGAATAAGTGTTCAATCCGTGGTTTTCATCCCAAAATCTGGTAGGCGAGGGCACGCCTACGTCAAAGATTTTCGACCAATTAGCTTAAATTCTTTTGGCCTCAAAACTTTCAGAGTGGTCTAGACGCGCACGTTCGGCGGTTTTTGCACGGTGATGATATGTTGGTAGCACTGCGTGCATATTTACAAGGACGATGCACTGAGATGACGCTTCATGAAGTCGTTAGAACAGTCGAGAGGTCTATTGAATTTAAGCAATATACTCTGGCAGCCTTCCTTGACATAGAAGGAGCCTTTAACAATGTTCGGTAGCAGCTATCCAAAATTCCTGGAGGAGCTCGACGTCGAGGAGTCTATAAGCGCATGGCTAATGACGATGCTTCGCAGCAAAACGATTTCAGCTGAACTTGGAAACTACACATTAAAAAGGAGCGTTAGTAGGGGCACTCCTTAAGGTGGAGTGATCTCTCCTATTTTATGGCTTGGCACCATGAACTCAGTACTACTCAAGCTTAACCAGGGGGAGTAAAAGTAGTGGCCTAAGCTGACGATGTGGTAATTTTAATAACCAGGCTATTCCCATCTGTGCTGAGTAACATCGTGGATGGAACTTTAGCAGAGCTACGGGAATGGGCGAGCAATGTGGCCTTAGAGTGAACCCTGAAAAAACAGAATTAATGCTCTTTACGGTCAGGAACAAGGTCCCTAACTTTGAATTACCAAATCTGAGTGGACAAAGCAATGATCATCTAAACAAGCGAAGTATCTCGAAGTCAAACTGGATTCTAAGCTAAGTTAGAAAATAAATATTGAAGTGAGAGTAAAGAAAGCGAGCATTGCCTATACTGCTCCTGTAAGCGGCTTTTTGGGAAGATATGGGGTCTCAATCCAAAACTGATACTCTTGGATCTACACGGTGGTTGTATCCGATCTTATGCTACGGTTCTCTAGTATGGTGGACAGTTTTGAAGAACCAGTATAATCATGTAAAACAAGGCAGAGCTCAGAGGGATGTATGCATCGAAATCATAGAGGCAATGAGAACTTGCCCTACCGATGCCATCAATGTTGTTGCAAACCTATTTCCTATAGGACTCCACATAAGGCACACCGCATCTCTATCGGTTTTAAGACTCAGAGAACTGGGTATATGGTAAGAAAGAACGATCGAGGGCATAGCAGTATATGTAATTTCTCGATTGTCATCTAAGTTGAGACTGGCTTCTGATTATATACGACCTGGCTACATCCGTCGAGAGCCGACTGGGTTGGGGAACTTGATATCTCTACCTGGATACATCATCTGTACACCGATGGCTCCAAAATGGAACGGGCATGATGACCCAGCCAGAAAAAATCCGAAAACCGATCCGAAAAAGAATGGATAAAGTTTGGATTTTTGTCCGTTTACCGATTTCATTTTCGGATACTTTGACGATTCGTTTTGCACTTCATAGACACTTTTTCGTGGTTAAAAAAAAAAAATAAAATTAGGAACCGCCTGACGGAATTCGAACCCGGCACCTTCTGGAAGCTAACAAATACCGACACGCTCTTCTACACGCTCAGCCACTACCGACTGCGCATGCATGCTGCTTTCAAATGCTTGCAAATTCAGTTATTGATTTCAAATCAGATCCAATATACAATACTTTCATTGACGTTTATAGTAAGATCAATTACGATTCCATTTGGTTGTAATATTTTTTCCCCTCAGTGTATGCTCTCACTATTTATCTGATGACAGGAGGTACTTCGTTTTGTCCTCGTTCACCACCATACCCATTGGCTTTGCCTCTGTGTCTAATTCCGAGAAGGCAGAACAGACACAGCCCTTGTTTTTACCGATAATGACGATGTCGTCGGCATACGCCAGCAATTGTACGCTCTTGTAAAGAATTGGGCCCGAGCGCTGCAGTTCGGCTCTTATTATCTTCCCCCACATCAGAGTAAAGAAATCACATGAAAGGGAGTCACCGTGCGCAGAATTTGGGAAAGCTTTTGACTGCCATTCACATGGCATTTTTCACTTTTCCGGTGCCTTCTTCAACCTCTTGCAATTTGAAAAATGCAATAGAAAATGCTGGCTGGTAGTCGGCCGCTGTGGTGTAGTGGTAAGCAGTGCGCGCCTTCACTCATCGACACCTGGGTTCAAGCCCTGGTAAAAGCAACATCGCAAAAATATAGAAAAAGGTTTTTTCTTAACAGCGGTCGCCCCTCGGTGGGCAATGGAAAACCTCCGAGTGTATTTCTGCCATGAAAAACAGCTTCTCATAAAAATGCAATCGCCGTTCGGAGTCGGCGTAAAACTGTAGGTCCCTCCGATTTGTGTGACAATATCAAGGCGCACGCCACAAAACGGAGGAGAGGCTTTCGGCCAAACACTAACATATGTGTAAGCGCCAATCTATTATTATATTAATAGAAAATGCTGGCAGGGCATGTGCAATGTTTTTATGAAAATCGAGCTGTTGGGAAGCAGTTTAAATGCTGTTCCTCCCAGCCAAAATATTTTCATTGGCGTCATTAATAAATAAACGTTGCTTTAAATCATAGCTGGGCACACCAACACAGTCTCATTTTGTCATGGTATTAGTGCGTCGCGCTCAGTTATGGTTGCCGCATTTTTTATAAATGTACTAAAAGTGGTATTTTTCGTGCATGGGTATTTTGGCCTATTTTGCTTATACCTATAGTGTAATAATGAACCTTGGAAGTTTTTAGTAACTAATACTATTAGTTTATACAACCTTTTGCATAAGAAAAATTTAGTACTTGTATAATTTAAAAAAACTTAAATTAGATAAACTCATTTGTATAATACCTGGGCTCCGTTTTATTAGAACAAATTCTTTTATATGCTGACCGGCCAGATGGTTACGGTGTTTAGGTCTTATTTTTTAACCGACTTCCAAAAAAGGGGGAGGTTATCAGTTCGTCGGAATCTTTTTTTTTTTTTTTTTATATGTATGTTACCGCATAAGTTTGGACCGCGTCAACCGATTTCGATAATTCTTTTGGCATCGGAAAGGTAGTGTCTCAGAGGTGGTCCCATACTAATCTGGTTAAGATCCGATCAGTGGATCGTGAGATATATATATATATATTTTTTTTTTTATATGAGGGTTGAAGTCGGTTTTTTTCTTGCTAAAAATTACTTGTTTCATATAAGTAGGTATTTAGTCTTAAAAATAGAGTATAACTTATAAATATTATTCATTAAGTATTTTTGGGCATAAACCAGCATTTACATTTCTCTATCGATTTCTTTTGATAAAAAAAATATTATAAAATAAAGTATGCAATGTGTGCCCTAGTGCGTCGCGCTGAGAAGCACTTTTCTATAATTGCACTGAGTGGAGCGTTTTTTTCATTTGTTTATGGTTAATGGTCGTATTACCACACAACAAGCATTGGGCATTATTAGCTTTTTTTAAAACCAAAAACTGTAATTGGCACTCATACTCAGACATTTTGGGCATTGTTACATATATAGGTGGCAACCACGCGCTAAAATTACGAATAAAAATATTCAACGGCGAAGCATAGTGCTACTCTCATGAAATCTGAAAGCAGACTGAATTGAAATTCGCTGCGTCGTTTCTGTATACGTATAAGCGCTGCGACGCAGACGCTACTCGCGAGTAGCGTTTTGCCCAGCTATGCTTTAAATGAACCACCAAACTCTAACTGAATGTATGGGATCAGGGCTGCCAACTAGGCTCAAACCGTGCAATTTTTGGCCCTACTTTGCTTCTAATGGCACTTAATTTTTCGATTTGGCACAAAGTGCCAAAATGACACCTTTTAAAAATAGTAATAGTTCAATACACTTTTGTGAAATGCTTTGCTTGTTCTTCTTTTTCTGAACTAAAATCATCTAATTTCTATAGTGTATACAACTGGTTTATCTTATTTTGGAATTGGACTTTTGTTTTAGGAATGTGTTTCTAACTTTAATGCGCAATGGGAAGATTAAAAAAGAATGACACCTTTTTTGGCACTTTTATTTTTCTATTTGGCACATTTTGGCACTTTTTTTTATCCTCAATATGGCACTTCATAGCTAAGGATAGTTGCAGCCCTGTATGGGATAATAATATTGTTGTCTTTGTTACATTTAAACCATCTCTTTAATGCTATCTTATTTTATGCTATCTTCTTTTATGTCTGTAATATTAATTTATCCATTTACCGGAACATTTAACAATACGATGAATGTTTTATTTGCAAGTGAATTATCAACGTTGTCTATAACAGAGTTTGTTTGTGGCACACGTTGAATTGTAAGATTTGAAATTTCATCCCAAGTTCCAATTTTCAAAATTCCAGACGGATGCAATTCAATCACATCTAAAGCATAGCCCTTGCGTATATTTCCTTCAAAGTAAATTTTACCTGTTATGGTCCTTTCCTTCAGATTGAGCTGTCACAAAAAGAATAAGAAGTAATTAATTCAATAAAGGTACGTAAGCATAGTTATAGTT